CTAATAACACCGCAGAGTGCATGGGACAGCACTCCAGGCAGGTAACCTAGTTGCATATAAAAATACATTCAATTGAAAATAAAAATACATAACGACATTCACTGATTTTTCTTATATCTGCTTGAAGTTCAGCTATAAATGGAAAGGAGTGAGCAGAGGAAGCTTTGTCAATGAGTCACATGCAGGTGGCTGACACAGAAGCCAGAAGTATCTAGTGGATGGAAGGTATTGCTGGACCATTGTAGTTTGAGAACCTATTGTTCAGTATAGGAAGATGGTCCACCTCTGAGGAGGCCAACCTACAGTGAGGGTACCATGTATAGAAGCCTGTGTTAGGTCTCGGGCTTCTACCTATGTGGTTGCAGTGAGTGCACTATACAACAGGTAATCTATTCCTAAATAAGGGGTTAGAGGCACCAAGTACGAACGGTCACATAGCCTGATGATAAGTATAAAGCAAACCTGGGCATTTTACAGCCCGCAGGTTGTATCCGGCCCTTTGTCCATCACTGTGCGGACCCAAACTGATCGCCATTCAAATATAAAGGACAATACAACGCACCTGCCGCACTGTAGCACACAGTAGGTGCATTGTGCAGTACGGTGTGTGGTACCCTCTATGTTATTTGAAGGAGAAAAATTAGGTGAGTGAAAATCACTCATCCTCATAGTTCGAGCCGGCGTGGGACCATGAAACTGTCACAGGTCGGCTCAATAGATCGGTAAGTGAGCGAACACATACCGGCGCTCGCTCACTTCTCGATCATCTCCCTGCAGAGAGCCATGACTGTCACTCACAGCTCCCTGCAGGAATTCTCCCCCTCCCCGCTCCGATCCGCCAGCGCTGACTGGAGGAACGGACGGGAGAGGGGGTGGGTACAGCTGGCTCTGCCTCTAGGTAGGCAGAGCCAGCTGTCACTCACGCAGCTGGGCGGATCTCGACAGTAATGTCGGGATCCGTCCCGGCTGCGGTGGTCTCAGTATACCGCGGGCTGTAGCTCGTCATATACTGAGCTCTGGGTCATGGGAGGACGCTAGTATATGTCTTCCCGTTACCCTTAGGAGAACAATGGGGAAACACACTTACCCCATAGTTCTCTTTTAAGTTGATATATTTTTAAATGAAATGACCTAGGTCTAGGCATAGGGTGTCCAACCCCTGGGTAGTAATATATGAAAAAAAAAAAAAGAATATAAAGCTGGGGTTTTTTGGATCATCTAACTGACAACCTTCAGACCAAATGTTCTTTAGAGTAAAATATATAGTTTTATTTGATTCAACATGATACGTTTTTAAAAGAAACAATAACAACAGACAGTGATTTCATAAAAATGACAGCAAAATTTCCCAAAAAGCTCACTCCACAATGATGAAAACTCACAAACCAGATGACTAATTTGATAAAGCCATAAATCACATGATGAATATGGTTGATAACCGAGACAAGATTAACATTATATGATAAATAAATATAGGAGGAGCTTGATGTTGTCTCAACGTGACGTTTCGCGCTATGTGGCGCTTCTTCAGGAGAGGAAAAGGGAGGCTGTCATTGAAGTCTGTGTACGTCCCTCAAGGTTCAGCCCGACTTGGAAATGAGATGACGAACACCAGAAGGGGGGGAGGGAATAGGAACCGGGACTGGGAAGGGAGGACGAGTGGGGACCCCGAGAACCCACTAAGGCAGATCACACCAAGAGACGACGGAGGTGGCCACTCATCATAGACGTTTCAGGGCAATTCGGAGGGATTTGAAAATCACCACTCGGGAGCCACGGGGTAACCGTCCCTCTTTCGGTAGGAAGCCCCCAGCAGACTGCACGGCCCTCTCAGGCTGCACACTCTTTTAAGTTGAGCCTATTGGGTCAGTTCCAGCTTCTCATGTGGCCTCTTGAGTAAATGCATTGCTGGTCCCTGGTAAAAAAAAGTATGTCAAGCTTAGGCAACCTCAGCACTCCAGCTGTGGTCCAACAATGGATTCCATCCATGTGCCTCTAGGGGTCATGCCTGTGGCTTTGCAGGTCTCGGAAGGCTCAGAAGAAGTGGTGTGAATGATGCTGGCCATCATTTACCCAAAAAGACTGAGGACATCCTGTGGCGGAAAATAAGTATTGCAGGAAACGGCTCAGGATAGCCGATGACTATTGGACTATTGCAGCAAATACTGCTTCTTTTTACTTTATCTGTCCATTCCCAAGCTGGAGGAGGGTCCATGACGCCCTGGGCTTAGAGGAAGTATGTCGAATGATGCTGGCCATCATTAAACCTGAAATACTGAGGACATCTTGTGGCGGAAAATAAGTATTGCCAGAAACAGCTCCTGATACAAGGTGAGTATTGCAGCAAAAGCTGCTTCTTTTTATTTTATCTGTTCAGTCGCAAGCTGGGGGAGTGTCCATGACGCCCTGGGCTCAGGGGATGTATGTTGAATGATTCTAGCCATCATTAAATCTGAAATACTGAGGACATCTTGTGGTGCAAAATGAGTATTGCAAGAAACATCTCTGCATAGAAGGCGAGTATTGTAGCAAAAGCCGCTTCTTTTTATGTTATCTATTCATTTTAATTGACTGGGGTCCTGACCTGCATGCCCGTTCCAGCCCAGCCAAAGTGAAGAAAGGATGAGGACTGCAGCCCCAGAGGAACTTAAAAAAACTGGCAATTGCAATATTGTTACCCTCACAGATCCTCTTTAATGTCAGGGTGGGCTCAACCTAAAGGAAACCTGGCTTTAGGGAAACACGGTGGCTTCCATTCCTGACCTTCCTTCTGATAAAGTTATGGCAGCTTCCAAAGTCTATTCTTCCTCCCGAACTTCAGCTGTGACCACAATCTCACCTCGGCAGCCCTGTGTTTGCATTGATGGCATGAAAGTCAGCTGAGCCCCGGGATTTAGGCTGTGCCTCTCAGCAGCGTACATTGCATACAACATATAAAAATTGTAAGCGTGGTGACAGCTGAGGAACTCCCCCAGCTCAACAGTTATAAGTTGTGTGCCCGGTGCTGGCACTGCCCTTCGCAGCATTGACACTCAGCCGAAGCTCAGGAGGTAGGAGAAGTGCAGACACGCTGTTACAGTTGCCCGCTAGCATGAAAAATAACCGATTCTCGTGATTTTATGGAATTTAATGCTTAGAATAATAGAATGCCGTGTAAAAATTGCTTTTTAATTTTATATATCCCCCCCCCCAAAAAAAAGTAAATTGTTAGGATTTAATTTAGTTTGTCTCTTACAAATGCGTCTCCTTAATTTGTTTGTCTCCATTTAAAATGGCATGCCCGTCTAATACTATGTAACACAGGTTCCGGCACACAGCTTCATGCTCCGATCCTTTATTAAATATCATGTGAGCAGCTCACATCACAAAACCCTC